CCTGCCCTCACGGGACAGCAGAACTGCAGAGAAGTCCAGCACTGGATACTGTTCAGAGAGCTCTCAGGATTCCATGAGCCTCAGTCAATGGGCCACAGCCCCTAAGGGCTGAAGTCACCAAGGGCAGATGGCAGCTGAAACAAAGGACACCTGTGCTGCCAGTTTCACGAGGCCACAGGGCTGGCAGGTTCTGTTCCCAACCAGACTTCACTCATGGTCTTCATCCTTGGGTGGTGGGAACAGAAAGAGCAGGTCTTCCATTGTGTTTTTACGAAACCCTAATCTCCTCATGAGGGCCCCATGACCTCATCTAGCCTTAATCACCCCCAAAAGCTCCATTTCTAATCACAAAGTTAGGGTGTAGAAGAATGTGATGGAGGCTGTACTAAGTCACAGTCGCCCAGGCCCTGCAACATACCCACACCCACTCCTGTCTCCATCAGGTATCTTTGGTGAGGAGCCTCGCTGAAACAGGTGTCTAGAAAAAGGCTCAGAAAGTAGAAGAGGAGTTTTCACTCTGCCTGCAGGGAGGCCCTGGAGCCAGCTTCCTGCAGGCTGGTTTCACAGAAAGGATGGTGGCTGAGAGCCCCCAGGTCTGGTGGCACTTCAGACACTCTAGCTGCAGAGTGTCTCTCCTGCTCCAGGAAGGAAGAGAAGCCCCCAAATCCCAATCATGTCTTTCACTCCCACAATGCTTTTGGCAAACCAGGTACCAGACAACGCACTGCCCAGTCACGCCCGTGCCTGGTCACTACACTGCTTAGTTACCACATAGCACCCAGTCACCATGGCATCCAGCTCTCGTGCTGCAGTTTGCAGGTGGGTAAACATGTAGAAGAGGCCAGCCCAGGCAGCAGTAGCCTGTCCTTGCCCTGTACAGAGAGGCCTTGCTAGAAATCTCCTGTGTATTGCTGCCATCTTGGAGAAACATCCTGGGTTTGTTTCAGCCAAGTTGCAGACTGGACAAAGCCAACTCTGATAGTCATTATTAAGTTGGACGATATTGTATTTATGGAACTCAACTTTCTGATGACAAAAAAATTATCTGTACAACCAAATAAAGACAAACGGAGCTCAGAGCCAGCTTAGGAGGCAATTTCAGCCACTAATCCCCCTCACGGCTAGCTTATCGCACCCTGGGATGGTGTCATCAGTAGGGCTGGGATATAAAGTGCCCTTTTGGGTTTTTCTTAAGCTAACATTAGTAAATTGTATATAAATTCAATCTCAGCTAAAAAGCCAAGACAGTCCACAGCCAAGGGCAAGGCCACCCTCTGGGGGCAATTGCTGTGCTTTACGTCCAATCAGACACAGGCTAAGAGGGGAAATGTGGTTCTCTCGACTAATCAATTACATTTGAGTAATTGATCGTATATTATTATTGATGAAAGCCTGTAATATTGTGAGTTAGAATGAGTTAGAAGGGAGTGGGCTCTCAAAAGATTAGATTTGTATACGAAAATGGAAGGGAAAAAATGACCTTCATAAAGTCTTTGGAGAGTGGTTTATGATCTCGTGCCTGGGTGGAGTGAGGTCTTGCGACTGCTGTCCTCTGCTTGTACATCGTGTATCTGAGGAACAGGGGACATGAACCTCTGCAGAACACTGTGAGGTCACAGGATCAGCCCAGGATGGCAGGATAACCCAAGGGAGGGGAAGAGGGCCGGCCAGGCCACCTGCGGCAGGGGCAGGTGTGCTGCATGGAAGGCTTAAAGGAGCTAAGAGGCCTTAAAGGACGTGTTTCTCACATGGAAAAGCACTGTACAATCAGTGCATAATGGGAGCATCAGGAAACACGCATGGCCTGTAGCTGTCCAGAGTCTTTTCTGACACTGACTGTAGTGTAGTCAGCCTTGACTTGCACTGGGAAACATCCTAGCATGTCTGGAACTGTTCATGTCAAATGTTGGTCATTTATTTCCTAAAAAGTCAGTGAAACTTCATAAAACCAGAGAGTTGGGGGAGGAAGACAACAACAGCTTCACTTCAGAGGCATGACCTCCATTCCTGTCCCTAGGTCATAAGCGGAGTTGGACCAGCTATCAGTGGGTCGGAGAGAGACTGTATTTAGTAGAGGTGTCTATAAGTGACATTCTAGGTGCTTCCAGGATCAATAGCCCAGGATTCTCTCCAGGCCCCAAGTCAGCACCAAGGGTAAACAATGATGGACAGCTCCCATTACCATGGCAATGCCCATCATCCCAAGCCCTCTTGCTATTGATGAGGCTCAGTCCCCACCCAGGGGACACGCATGGCCTGTAGCAAGGCCCTCTGCCCTTCCTCCATACCAGCAAAGGCTGTTTCCACTCCAGAAGCAAGCTGACTGAGTATGGCTTCCAGGGGCTCCATGTCCCACCCTCATACCATCTCTGGTGCTCTGCAGCATCCAGGGGACCCCCCTCCCCCTCCCTGCAGCATTCTCATGATCTCCCCTCCCCTTAGAATGCACTTGATTCCAGATCACTCTGTAGCTAAGGATAACCTTGAAATCCTGGCCCTCTGGGGTGCTAGGTGTCACCCCAAGTTCTGATATAACATGTGTGGCCCCATATTAAGCTTCCTTATAGTCATGAATTCCTTTACCATGAGTCTTGGGCTTCATGTCCATCATGTATTTGAGGCTTCCCAGTTAGGATCCAGCTGTTGCTCAGGTCACAAAACATACAGAAGCCCTTCCCCTCTCATAGGTACTCGCAGGTGCCCTACTGAGACCTGTCTGTGAGTTCCTAGCTAATAGATCCCCAGGTCCCAGGATCTGTCACCTAGGAAGTGAGTTTACATCCAAGAGGGTATTGGTGGCCAACACCCTCTTCCCTACTCCCTTTCCCTGCCTCCTGCCTGGGAATCAGAAGGCCTGGCTGCAGGTGTATGAAGAATGGACCTGATGAACAGACCCCACTTCTGCCAAATGGGCCCTGATTTCCTCTTCGTGTTTCCTGTCTCTGGTCCTAGGACCTGAACTCTCCTCAAAGCCCCTATCATACTGTTGCCTGTCTCTGTCTAACTCCAGCATTAATAACTTCTAATAACTGCTTGTTCCCCAGTGACCCATCTCAGCATCCTTGAACGCCCAGCAGGAACCTTTCAGGACTAGCCTCTGAATTCAGTCTTCCCTCCTTTGAACTCTGTCCCACAAGGTCTGACTCTCTCTAAATCTCTTGTGTGTTTGCAGTCCCAGGTTTTATCAGACTGCCTCAGGCATTTTGTAGCTCACACAGAAGGTTTTGCTTCTTCACCTGGGGGAATTCAATCTGGACACACCCATGTGTCCCAACTAGAACTATGTGTCCTTTGGATCTGCAGCCTAGACATGCAGTGGCCCCAGGTGCTTCCCTGTAACCTGCCTGGCAACAAGGGCCAGGGTGGGGAGCAGCTTGGAAGCAAGGAGAATACACACACATGCAGTGCTCATAGGACAGGGTACCAGAAGATGACAAGATGTCACTAAGGATGACTGTTGGTCATCTCAGTTCCACATTTCAACTGCATTGAGGTCTGTTCTTCCAGGCAGTGTGAACAGTTCAGGGGGTTGTGGGGGGGGCGGGGGGCATACATACCCTGTCAGAAGGACCTGGCTGCCACCAGCACATACCATGATCCTGGGATTCTAGGCCTACTCCCTCTACTGCATACACATGGTCTCCCATTGGGGTCCCTGCTCCAGGGCATACAGTGACTTCAGCATGGTGTCCTGTACACAGTGAGGCCAAATAAATGCTGACTTTTTGACCATCAGACACCTGGAGAGATGCAGAACACAAGGACTCCAAACTTGACAAGACCCCAGATCATTCTTGGAGGCTTACATACCATGCTCGGCAGCTGTGAATTGTAGTGCTGGTGTGATGTTTTAATGGCTCTCACCACCACCACATATCAGAAGCCAGTGAGGAAAGCATGCAGACTGTGGTCTTGAAAACTTGAGAGCAAAACACAAATAAACAAAACAAAACAAAAGCTGGGCAGTGGTGGTGCTCGCCTTTAATCCCAGCACTTGGGAGGTGGAAGCAGGCTGATCTCTGTGAGGCTGAGGCCAGCCTGGTTTACAGAGTGAGTTCCAGGAAAGCCAGGGCTATTCAGAAAAACCCTGGAGAGAGAGAGAGAGAGAGAGAGAGAGAGAGAGAGAGAGAGAGAGAGAGAGAGAGAGAGAGAAGGAAAAAGAGAGTGAGCAAGAGAGAAGAAAACTTGTGTCAGGGCCTAGGCTGCCAAGAGGCCATGGAACAAATTAGTGATGATGACAGTCATGTTGTCATGACCCCATATGACACAGGAAGAAGAAAGATACCTATAAACTAAGCAGAGAGAGACCAGCCCTTCCAGGACTAGGCTATAATCAACTTTTGCTGTTAAAAACACCAATCTGACTTTGTTATGCTGTGTGCAGTGCACTTCTTTGTTATCACTCCCTTAGGAAGTTAGTCTGGTAAGCCCCAGGACTGGCAAATCCCTTTATAGTATGAGAAATGGTCAAGAACGGACACCTATGGGGAGCATGGGAACATTGACAATCCCTGGACCTGAGCTGGTAGCAGTGTAAGAATAAAGGAAGGGTCAAAGAAGATTGAGCCCCAGAATCAGAACCCCATGGAGCTTGTGAGCCCCCAAAGGCAGATTTCAGCCAAGCTGCAGGGACTCCATTGCTAACCACCACTTCTGCCTTTGAGGCCTTGAGCCTGCCTTGGAGTCACCTCTGTGTACCCCCACTTTTCCCATCCAGGTGACTCCTGGACACTCAACCTGCAGCAGCAGGATCCAGAGCTCAGCCATCAAGGCTTCAGGGACAGGGAGAGCACCACCTAGGGTCTTTGTGCCAGAACCAGTCCAAGCTGTGCTCAGTAGCCAGGGCCCCACTCCTCCCCTCTCTGCATGGAGTCTTTCATCACAGTGGGTGAACGCGTTTTAATAAACTGCAGAGGCTGTGTGTAATGCCCGTGGCCAGGAGACTCCAGAACCAGAAGTCCAGGCTGGAGGTGGACATCAAGGCAGGGCCTGAGGGGGTGCTAGTACTTGAGCAGCCATCGTGGCTTGTATGGGGTCAGTGATGTGAAGTAAGACCACCACCACGGCTTGCTCCCACTAGCTGGCTGCCTACGTGCCCTGGGGGGCTCAAAATCCAGCTGTGCAGCCTCCCCCTGTGAATTTTGGGACCAGGGTGAAGCTCTTGAAGGTCCAGGAAGGAAGTTCTTAGGTCCTGTCCTTAGAGGCTGGAGGATGAAGTCCACGCGGCCGGCCCTCCTCATGCGCAAGGGAATGGTGACTCTCTTCATAACCTTGGAGTAGCCAGGGGCCTGAGCAATGACGATATGGGAACCCGGGGGAAGGAGTCTCCAATAGTCACCATCAGGGGCTTCAAAGAGAATGGCAACAACCATCAGAGGGCTTCAACCCCAGGCTGAGGTAGAAGTGTGACAGTTGGGGGGAGGAGGTTGCATGATAGATGGGGGTAAGAAGGCCTTAGCACAGGGTGGGATGGGCATTTGCCTCCACCCAGAATGTCCTCTTCTATCAAAGCTTTATTCATCCCTCAAAACCCTACTTAAGTGCTACCTCGCCCTGGCAAGTTTTTCTTTTAATCAGCAAGTCTACCTTCCACTGGACAGCGATGCTGCCAGGTCCCGTGTTATAGGTATCTATTTTTTAATTTTTTGAGTTTATTTTATGTGGATGAGTCTTTTGCACTACATGCAGGCATAGTGCCCACAGAGGTCAGAAGAGGACGTGGAATCCTCTGGAACTGGAGTTATGGGTGGCTATTAACCACCATATGAGGATCCAACCGAACCTGGATTCTCTGCAAGAGCAACACATGTTCTTCCTGAGCCGCCGCTCCAGCACTGACCATGGACTATGACGTTCACCAGCTGGGAAAGGCCCGAGGACAGCCAGAGCCCATGTGAGACAAAACCAACTTTTCAGAGTGCTGTGGGCTCCATGTGGAGTGCCCTCCATGTGCTCTTGTCCCAGGTTAGTGGTGGCATTTTGGAAGATTGTGGAAGCTTTAGGTGGCAGAGACCACTGCCATGTTTTCTCTACCAGGATGCGCTATGAGATAAAGTGAACCTCTCTTTCTTTGGTTGCTTCTTGCTGGGTATTTTGTCACATCAACAAGCCAAATAACTAAGTACCCTACACACAGTGTCCCAGTGTGAACTTTGGGACCTATAATGAAAGGGATCCTGAAGGGAGGTGGCTTCAGGCTGCCACCTCTGAAAAGGAAGTGTATTTCTGGAAACACAGGAGCCATAGCAAAACCACCTCTTCTCAGACAAACACAGCAGGAGACACTGCAGGACAGACAGGGTTCCCACATGCTGCCACCCTCCCTAACCAAGCTGGCTGAGAATGAATGGAGCACCTGCATTGGAATGAAATGGAAACCCTGCACTGGCCTCACTCACAGCTGGGTGAAAGCAGTTGCTCACCTGTGGTGACATCATGGCGGATGCCTTTCACTAGAATCCTCGCGTTTTTGACTGGCTTTCCATATTTGTCCGTCACCACACCCTTGATGCCCCGGTGCACCTGGAGGCACCAGAGAGAAGGTACAGAGGTGACAATCTGCCTCCAATGGTCACTTTCACTACTGCCCCATCAGGTTTCTCTGAGTTTGAGTTCTGCTTGTGTAATTGAGTAAGTCATCTCTGGGATTTATTTCCTGTTTGGGGTATCTCTGGCAATCTGTTCTAGAACATTCTGGGTTTGTTTTTGACTGACACTGGAACTCTGCCTGAGGATTCTGTTCACTTTCCTTCTTGACATCAGACATTGAAGACAACTTTCTCTGTCTACCCTTAGGTGCTTCTGAGCTCCAATACCTTCCTAGCCTCAGCAGGCATTCGTGGTTCCCTTTGAGAAGAGGTTCCAGAAGGAAGCCTGGTAAAGACACAGACAGGAGCCTTGGACCCCACCCCACTACTGACTCTTGCATGTATCTATCTATGCACCAGACACCCTGTCCACATATTCAGAGAAAAGCCCAGGACCCATGGAGGACAGCCACTGGCCTACTGTAAACTAGTCCTGTGGCTCCCCAGCCACACCCTGTCCTTCTGCATCCTATGGCTCCTGACACCAGAAAACCATTTGCTTCTTCACACTCAGCCTCCTCAGCTACAGAATGGGTCTAAGCAGAGCCAAGGCTGCCAGCAACACCTAGGGCTCACAGTGCCTCTAAGATCAGCAAAAGGGGAGCTTAATTATGCCCTGGAGTCCTCTCTGCTCAGAGCCAGCGGCTCTTGGCAGCTGCCATCCTCACTCCTGACCCTCAGTGGTGTCAAGGAGGACACAGCAATCAAGTCACTTCTCTCCTACTTTTTAGCAATAAACCAGCGTTGAATGTTTAGGAAAGGGAGGCACGTAGAATTTGGAGCAAGCACAGGACAGGAGCTGCAACTCTCCTGACATGAACAAGTGACCGCCTGGGGGCTCCTGAGCATGGGCTGCTGTTCTGGGGAGCTGAACCCAGAAGCAATAACTATCCTGTGGAGCAAGAGGAGGGATTTCAAATGCAAAGCTTCTACCATGGGAGGTGTTGGGGGAAACTGATGGTGTAGAGTATCACACCATCCACCAGCCTTGTGCCTCATCCACAGAATGGAGCTGAATGCTACATGTGGCCCCAACTCAGCCGACCTGGCTAAAGCTGGCCCTTGAGTCAGTGGTTGATGCTCACCTCTGGCCCCCACACGTGTACCTAGACCTCTGTTCTTCACCTTCTCCCGCTTAGAATGTTCTGGCCATCTGCCATGACTGTCCCCTTCTCCCACTCCTCTTCCTCCTGCTGACCCCACAGCCTCAGCTTCTCTCTCCCAGCTGGGCCTTACTGAGTTGGGCCTTACTCCTCTGTCCCTCAAGGGAACAGGGCCTGTCCATGGGAGCCACTCCCTCCAGTTGGCTAGTCTCCAATCTGCACTTCAACTGGGGTCCTCTCCTGCCACCCCTGGGCCTGGAGCTGTGTGGCAGGAGGAAGAACCGGTTCTGTCTCTCCCACCCCCATCCCTGAGCCTGCTTAGGATCACTGTGAAAGTGGCCTCAATTGGCCATGACAGACCTGATCTTTATCAGGACCTGTGCCCGCTTTCCTGGGGGTCATCTGTCTCAGAGTAGGCCAAGTGCTGTCCGACTGGCCACCATTCCGCTTGCCATTAAATCTTCATACACTGATACTTCATGTACAATATCCATGGAGCAATCCCAGCCCCACAAAAGGCTCCTTCTAACTCATTTTCTCCAGACAACCACAGATGGCCTGAGCACCAAGCTCTGCCCCAAGTCCTGCTTTGGATGAGACACACCCTGTCTGAAAGACATGCCAGTTACCATAGAAGACATACCTGGCCACTCGCCCACATTCTGTGCCACCTGGGGTTGTGCTTTTCCCATTCTGCTGCTCTAGCAAGGGAAAGTTCCTGATCTCTCTAGTAAGGACAGGGCTCAAGGACAGAGCCTTGGGGATACAAAGTCTAGACATAAACTCCAGGCAGCTGCCAAGCCACACTACATAGTCACTCCTTTTCCTCTGTCTCTTCCTTTGTCATAGTCATGTGCCCCTGTGGCCACAGTAGTTCTTCTCTCAAGCCCCATCACCTAAAGATGAGGCTGCCTGGGACAGGGCAAACTAACAATGGGACCAACTTAGGCGTGGGACCAACTGTGAAATACTGTGCATTTGCCACAGCCACCTTGCACTTGAGCGTGCTTGATTTCCTCAGGACTTGTTACCTCCCTATGACCCTCAGAGCCTTGTCATAATTTTATAGACCTCATGTGAGCTGTGCTGGATGAATCATCAGGCTTAGGAACCCATTTCTCCTGACTGCAGACCCTAGCCCTAGGATTCAATGGGAGTTTTAAGGGTATATCTCCAGCCATTCCTATCACTGCCTGCCCACCTGTGTCCAGATAACCTTGATATAGATAGGCAGTTATTCTCAGACAGTTTGCCCTTCAGTCTTAGGCCTGATATGTGAACAGGATGTAGCCCAGAGTCATCGTCTCTGAGTCCCTCCCACACATAATGCCCCATCACTCCTGCAGCCACAGCTCTCTGCAGTCACAGGGAGGGACCCTGTAGGCTCAAGTGCCTCATTGAGTCCCCTATTGTACCCACTCTGCTCAGAGTGTACCCTCTTCCTGCTTGGTTTCTCTTCTCTCAAGATTCAACTTGATTTGCCGGCTGCCTCCCTGTAACCATCAGGACTTGGGGCTGGCCATCCCTCTCCCACTGCCCTCAAGCTGCTAGCCCCTGTGCTCCCTTTGGCAATCATGCTTTGTCAGGTATGAGATCCTTAACCAAAGAGCATCCACCTGGCATTCCCCCTGGATGTGTGGGAGAAGTGCTTGGGAAGCCCTGCCTCTCAACCTCCCCACCTCCCTACCCTACCCCGACTCCCACATGCCTGTCCTGAATGGATGGTCAGAGAAGTCATGAACAGTCACTTCCACAGAGCCCCATACAAAGCCTGGAGACAAGGGAGACTAAAGGTGGAGCTGAACCCCATCCCCACCATGGGAAGCTTCCAGTGGGCAGGGCTCACCATCTCTAGGAAGTTCAACAGGGGCTCCTTGTTGTGCTGCCACAGGCCGTAGAGTGCCTCCTCTGGCGGGAACTTCACACAGCCTAGTTCCACTGTGATCTCAAAGCAGTTGGTGTGTAGGTAGTTGAAGTCAGACATCCCTGTGGGATAGGCAGCTGGGTGTCAAGGGCAGAGACCCTGGAACAGGCACAAGCCACCGGGCCCAACACTGCTTTGCACATAGAGAAGACTTACTCTGCCACTCCTTCCCCACGCACGGCCCTGAGCACAGGAGTAAGAGGCCTGGGTAAGGCCACAGAGGCAAATTTTGATTCCAGACAAGTTCATAGCAGAGTCCATGGGATTAGAATCTTGTTCTCCCAGAGAAGCCAGCCAGGGTGCCACATGAGTGTCTGTGTCCCAGCTATTGAGCCTGCAGCCCCAAGGGGTCTAACAATGTCCACAGCATTCAGCTGCCCAGGGAAACCTGATCATTTCCATTTCAGGAGGGCTACAATGTCCTCTCCCCTGCTCTCTGATCTAAGGACTTTTGAGTTTCTGAGCCCTGCTGTTGCAGCCATCACTGCCCAGAGTCCTCACGGCTGCCACTGTCCATCTGTGTGTCCATCTGCCCCATTGCCCTGCCAGCTGCAGGAAGGAAGCCTGCTGGCCTCTCCAGTTAGGCACTTATAGGACAGCTGTAAGCCTCAACAGTAGGACCTTGTCTGGCATCTGGGGAACCAATGTATCTGAAGCCTTGGAGGAAGAGATGCTGTCATATTCCAAAAGATGTCATGTGTCAGTCTCTGGCAGCACGGAAGAGCCAGGTAATAGCTTTGGAACGTATGAGAAGGGTAGCTCTCCACCACCTGAGTAGGATTGGCGGGAGGTGAGTGGCAAGGTGAGCCCCAGCTGTGCTAACAAAGGCCTTGTGAATGTGTCTCTTGCCTTCATCTGCAGAATGGTCCAGGTGGGAGGTGTTCAGGGTACAGAAGGAATCAGATGAAGGATGGCTGTACCAGTGCATGTGAGCCCTTCAGTGGATGCTCAGGATATGCATAGTGTTTGTGCCCTACAGTGCACCTGTGATGCCTTCCCCCAGGACACAGTGGCCAGTGAGGACTCAGGGGCCCAGTGAGTGCTGAGCTTGGGAAAACCAGGAAGCCTTAGAGTACAAGTGCCCCATGATCTTACACAGTAAATAATCCCAACCATTAGGACCCGTTACACAGAACCAAATCTCCATTGTCCCTGAAATGTCAGCTTCTCTGGGGGTTCTTACCACTGCACCTACCAGCCCTATTTGACACTTAAACAAGCAGCAAGGGCTTGGTCACCACATGAGTGGTTATAAAATAAACTTAACAGTAGCTGCCAAAGTCACAGGTCCAGTTCACCCCAGTCCCGCCTTGCCTCTCCTGAAAAAAAAACGGTGAATAAAACTCAACCAGACCCTGCCGGAATGCCAGGACTCTGCTGAGGGAGGCCCCACCCACCCGCCTGTGCAGGCCGTACCTCCAGTGAAGCTGTACCAGTCTGCCCCGTTGATGATGCTCCCGTGCTTCAAGAAGTTGCCCCCACACCTGTTCTCCGACCTGTCCATCATCATGGGGTGGACATCAGCATAGGCTCTTGCCAGCAGCTTGAACATCTGGAGATGGAGATTGAGAAGGAAAGTCCCTCCACCATCTACCTAAACATGGATTTGACTCTTGGGACAGGCCCAGTACCTGGACTATCTGACCCCCTCCCACTCTTCATCCATATCCTTGCCTTGGGGCCACCATCCTATGCTCCTCTTCTCCACTATCCTGTGGGTGGAGGTCTAGAAGGAAACTGTACCCATCACCCCCCAAATCCTGGACACATGAGCCTCAGGCCAGCCTTAGAACAAGGATGTGGTGCAGAGGAGTGGCCTATCTTCAGGTCATGTGGGCAGGCAGGGCACAGACATGACAACTGCACATGAAACAAGGTAGCCATGACAGGTGTGGTGTCACATGCCTTTAATCCCGGCAATCAGGAGACAGAGGCAGGCAGATCTCTGAGTTCGAGTTCAGCCTGGTCTACATAGCAATTAAGGACAGCCAGGGACACACAGAGAAACTGTGTCCCCAAAAAACCAAAAGGGAAGAAAGAAACAAGGCAGCCACATGCTGGCCAGGGCAGCTACAGAGACCCAGGGATGCAAGTCACTGGGCACAACAACCTGTCCTCCCAAGAGCTGCCTGAGCGAGTGCCATGGTGAGCTGCAGCTATGCCAACTCTTAGGGCTATGGTAAGTAGGAAGGGCTGAGGGTATGAGCATGGCTCCCAGGACTGGCTCTCTCTGGCAGGATGGAACATGGCAAAGGTGTACCTAGGGACACCCAGCCAGCGCCTTTCCTCACACTCCCCCACCTCTCCTGAGACTGTGGTTTCCACAGAGCTGGCTGCCGGCTGCAGGCTGCAGGCTACATAGTTATTGATTGAGGATTGATGGCTGGGGAGCAGGCTCATTTCTTCTGACTCTAGTGGGACCCATTGAGGTGAACCTTCCCCCTACGGACATTCCCAGACGCTGAGGCTGAGGGGCTGGCCTGACATGGAGGGGCTCCTGCTGCTCTGCTCAGAGTACTCCTGCCCACCCAGAGGGTACACCTGTTCTACGAAGGCACAAGATCTGAGACTCCACACTGAATGAGTGTGCAAATGAATGAGTGGGGTTAAATGAGTAAGCAAATGAATGAGTGAGTGAAGGAGTGAAGGAGTGGATGAGTAAATTAGTAAGTGAAGGAGAGAGGGAGGGAATGAGTGAGTGAGTGGGTGAGTGAGTGAGTGGGTGGGTGGGTGGGTGGGTGAGTGAGTGAGTGGGTGGGTGAGTGAGTGGGTGGGTGAGTGAGTGAGAGAGTGGGTGAGTGAGTGGGTGGGTGAGTGAGTGAGTGGGTGAGTGGGTGGATGAGTGAGTGAGTGGGTGAGTGAGTGGGTGGGTGGGTGAGTGAGTGGGTGGGTGAGTGAGTGGTGAGTGAGTGGGTGAGTGGGTGGGTGAGTGAGTGAGTGAGTGGGTGGGTGAGTGAGTGAGTGGGTGAGTGAGTGGGTGGGTGAGTGAGTGAGTGGGTGAGTGAGTGACCGAGCTGATGGGCAGAAGCAGGACCAAGAATCCAGAGGTTACTGTCACAGCCCTTGTAGCCAACACACGCATGAGTGCACTGAGCCTGGTCTGGTTGCATAGAGATCTCTAACAGCCTGTGTTTGAAGTAGCCTTCCAAACCTGGACATTTCCACCTCACCCTTGCCCCTGTGCTCCACTAAGAGAAGCCCCAACTTCAGGGAAGCACTCTCTAAGTCTAGGCCAGACTGGGGTTTCTCCCCTGACACACATGTAAACACAAGTACATACACATGCTCCCAATGGCATGCAAACACAAACAGGAATGCACCTGTATTTACATGTCTACATACACTGTGCCCCAACCTCTGAGACCCTTCATGGAGGCTGGGATGTCCTGTCCTTGCTTGGTTTGGGGTTTTTTTTTGGGGGGGGGGGTTGTTTTGGATTTTGTCTTCCTCCATGGACAGAGGACCGACCCTCATAGAAAGAAGGAGCAGTCACCTCTGTCATTACGACCCGGGAAGAGGGAAGGAGGGACTGGATAAGACCAGTTTGATGTACTAGTGTCTAACGGGGATAAGAGCAGCTGTTCCCCTGGCCAGGCAGCTCAGAGATCAGGAAGCCTGGTGTCTGGCCCTCATCTGTCCAGGATGGTCCCTACCTCCAGGTCCCTTCTCCTAAGTTTGTCATGAAAACTGCTCTGGAGGGCAGGCCAGGCTCCCTGCACCTATCTGACTCCCCGGAGGCCTGACTAGAGACCAAGTTCAAACCTGCACAGGCCCCACCTGGGGCAGGACCCTGCAGCTTCCAGTGATACAGGAGGGAATGGAGGACTGGCCCCAGACCTGGGGGACACCAGGAACAGATGAACCTCACCTCCAACCCAGATGCTTTCTCATCCACACTAGACAGCAATTAGTTACCTGTCCCTTTGCAAACACAGGGCTGGGTAGCACAGCAAGGTGGCTTTAAGGGGGAGAGTGCCTGGAAGGGTCCCAATGTCACTTAGTCTCACCCACAGCGAGGAAAACCGGCTAAGAAATCAGGGTCTTTACCCAAGGACCCCTGTGAGTAGCAGCAGGGCCAGAGGCCCACCCCTAACCTCTACACTCCATTTAGAGCCCACCGGGCACAATGCATGTGGTAGCACTGTCCCCTGCTGGTGTGGCTGGGAACAACAAGCGACCCATTAACACATGGAGAGGCTGCAGCTTCTCCCTGGGGTTGGGGACAATGAGAAGGAAGAGCTGCTCTCTGCTTCTTGACAGGGCACTCCCTGGAGGGGGACATCAAGCAAAGAGGCTGCTAAGGGTTCAAGACACCTTAGTCTTCATGAGCTAGAACTGTGACTGTGCTTGCAGAGAACACCCGTTCAGGCTTGTCACTGTGTCCATCTCTCACCTTCTCATCAGGTGTGGGAGAAAACATCTTTTCCTCATGGGGGTGCTTGGAAAAGTCGAAGGGGTAGGACACCACCAGGTCACCCCCATGCAGGCTGGCTGAGAGGACGAAGGGAATGGTCTGTATCCACTTCATGATGGCCTTGGTCTCAGGGGCCACCTGCCAGGAGGGAGGACTGCTCAGGATTCTGCCTGCTCCACTGGCCACCCAACATCCATGCCTTTCCCACCAACCCCAGACTCCTGCCCAGCCACTTCAGCTCCCCCCAGTCACCATGGAGGTCATGCTGGTCTTTCAGCTTGGAAGTTACATCACCCTTCTTGGTCAGGTCACCTCTCCAGGCATCTGAGGAGTATCCCACCCATTCAGCTCCTGACTGCCCCATTTCTGCATTAAGTAGGCCCCAGTAACTTCAGAAGTTGTTCCCACATTAAGCAGGTTATACTAGCTACAGAGGAGAGAGCTCCTGTCAAGCTCAGCTTACACTTGAGGGAGAACTCAGGGACTCTGGGAAAGTGCCTGTGCCATGAGTGCTTCAACAGGATGCAGACCGCTGTCAGCCCTGCTGGAGACTGGGGGCTTTCAATACATTGTTCCCTGGGCCAGTGAGGCATAAGCCTACCTCACTTATGGCTAAATATTGAGGCTCAGAGGGGTCGGTGCCCTAGGGAGGGACACCTGAAGTCCCTAGCTCAGAGAGTGAGCCCTGGCCACACAGCTCCTACCTTACCCCACCAGTAGTATTGTGAGATGGGGATGTGGTCTGTTCGCACACCACGAGTGGAGGCCAGCCGGTAGTACTCCGATGTCAGGTCAGGGAAGTTGCGGTTTAGATCCAGGTTCTGTGCATTCTGCCTCCCGCTGATCCAGCCGTTGTAGCCAGCACCCTGAACACATGGGCCCAGCCAAAGATCAGCAACTCCCTCCCCACATTTTCCATCCCAGACTTCAGCTGGACTGAGGGTCAAGTAGGTCTGTGGCTTCTGCGGCTTTGTGTGATGAGCCCTCCCTCCCATCTCCTACCTCCACCCCCCACAGCCTTTCCCCCACTCCTCAGCATCACGGTCCTACACTATTCTCCCATGTCTGGGACCCCCATAGCAGCCCATGCCACTGACCCCTTGCCTCCCTTGGCTCTCATCCATGTCCTTCTGTCCCTCCTCATGAGCTTCCCTAACCCCCCAACAACACACTTTCTTGTTGCAACCCTTTTCCTTATCTTGCATGTTTGGCAAGAATACTACCACCGAGCTACATCCTCAGCCCTGTCCTGAAACAATAGACCACAGCTCTGCTCTGTCAGTACCCATCCTGCCCACCTATCAAGCAGAATGTTGCAGTATTGCTGCTTGCTTAGTCCTGGTCACTTGGAGAGGTGGCTGCAAATAGGCCCTCAACATCGATGAATAAAGCCAAAGGTTAAGAGTGTTGAAGGAAGCAGCCTATCTCCAGGCAACGGCAGCTCGCACCTCTGCAGCTGCCACCTCGTAGCCATCGGGGTTCATGGATGGCAGCAGGTGGATGCGGGTGGTGTTGAGCAGGCGCTGGATGCGGGGGTTGCCCAGAAGGTACTCAGAGCACAGATACTGGGCCAGGTAGATGAGCATCTCCCGTCCTGCCACTTCGTTGCCATGAATGTTGCCAATGAGCTTCACTTCGGGCTCCACTGCAGGAAGAAACTGTGACGTGGGGTGATGTCTCACAGACTGGGATCAGCAAGGGTAGCCATGGGTACCAGGACTGATTCCTACTTGTTTTGACTCAAGAGTCTCTGGGCATATTGAGGCATCTAGGCAGTCATTTCTTGAACTCATCTCTTACGTTTAGCTACAATTATTAGCATAAGTAAAGAATGTTATAATCATATATGGTGTCATTGATTTGTGTGACTTTTATTGACATCCTTTGTCCATATTTGTGCAACAAGTCAAACACATCAGTGCTTAATAGGTAAAACAGCTAGTCCTGGGAGGGAAGGATAAATAGATGCATGGATGAGCAGATGAGTGACTAGACAGATGGATGTGTGGATAGATGGATGGATGAGTGGATAGGTGGATGGATGAATGGATAGATGGGTGGATAGATGGGTTAGTAGTTAAATGGACAGTTTGAAGAACAAATGAATAAAGAGATAAGTGAATGGGTGGTTGGATAGATGGGTTGGTGGATGGATGGATGGAAAATGGATGAGTGAATGGATGGATGGATAAATGAATAAAATAATGAATGCTGGGTAGAGGAAAGGGCAGATGTGGGTGAGCGGGTGGATGTATGGATGGATAAATGAGTGAAAGGGTGGGTGATAGCTGTGTTGTAGAAACAGTAGAATAGGCCTGGCAGCCTTTTTCAGTGGGGCTGTGGGAAAGTCACTCCTACTTGTTGAAACTAGCATTGCTCTTATGGAAAATGTGATGCTGTTGGGCCCAGCATCATTCAGCTGTAGGTGTGAATGTTCATGCCCTTCACAGGGTATAAAATGACAAGAAACTTTCCATGTCTGTAGGAGTGGGGGTTAGGTTTGGTCTTAGAGGCCAGATGTGACCTCTGGCCCTTATGGGAGACAGAGCCCTTGAGCTTATAATGTCCACACTGCCCAGCCCAACAAGGTGAAACTGGGTGGGGGTGGACAGCACAGCAGAGTCCTAAGTCCACAGACTCAGAGACTTCTGGAACTGGGGGGAAGGATGGACCTGCTTACCCCAACATGGCTACAGGACAACTTGGATAGGCAATGGTGCTGTCAGTAGGCACGTTTAAGGTCGCCATGACCTACTTATTCACAAGGAGATGGAGGCCCAAGCCAAATCTTTGTTAGAACATTCTAGAGCTCCAGATACAGTCAGCTTGGTGTCTGCTCCAGCTCATAGCCTCTAGTAAGCATTATAACAGAGTTTAATTTCCTAATTTGCAACACAGGAAGGAAGCATCAAAGAGCCCAAGCCATCTAGCATTTTCCATATCTCAGAACAGGCTACACACCCAGTTTCACTGGACCTTGATTTGGAAATGGAAAACCCACTGTGTCCACACCATCAGCAAAATGTGCTTCATATGTGGAGTAGCACAAAGAGAAAGTAACCAGGACCCAGACCTACACAGACCCAGGACTCAATAGACTGCAGGGTGGTGGTGACAGTGACACACTTCACATTAAGGGTCTAGGACTGAAGCTCTGGCAACCATTACCCACTGACCCTGTCTGACCCAGTGTCCCGTCCAGGACCTGCCCTAGTCCCTGCAGCCTTCAACCTCTCAGAAGACTTTCACTCTCCCTGAAGACGGAGTATTCATACTGTCAACTGTGTGGGTGACTTATTATCACTATTACTCAGTCTCAGTCCTCAGACCAGTGTCTCTGTTGGGATGAAACCAACTCATTTCCATTCCCATGCTCCCAAATTCACAAGTTATATGGGTTGCCTGGAGAAATCCATTGCTCCTGAAACTCACTATGTAGACCAGGCTGGCCTTCAACTCACAGAGATCCTCCTGTCTCTGCTTCCTGAGTGCTGGGATTAAAGGTGTGCATGACCAGGCCCAGCTTAGAGAAATCCTTTTTAATACTGTCCTGCTGGGCTGTGGTCGTGCACCAATCACAGCCCCCAAAGCATCACCTGCCCAGGTGGTTGTGGGCAAGTAGATGGAGACACCCGATGTTCACTCCCAGATTGTGCACCCCAAGGCTAAGTGAGTCTGCACCCAGCTTGCAAGGGCAGAATCACACCCAAGCCACACATGGTCACTCACTCAGCTCATGCTGGCCTGGGCGGCTTGAGTACTCGATGACTAGCAGGTCCTTGCCTTCAAAGCTGCGCCCAATGCTGTAGGTCTTGGCCACCTGGGAACAGCGAGCTGCTGTCCTCTTCAGGACCCTGGCCATCTGAGCATAGGAGTGGTGGGCAAAGTGAATGAAGGTAGGTGGCAGGCCTGAAGGCAGGGCTTCCTCAGCATCCAGATCTCCTGGGGAAGGAAGGGAATTGGGGCTAGGATGTGTGCTTCATATTTGCTCATGGCTCAGATGGTTCACTAGCCTCTCCCAGCATCCTCATCCCCAACCCTCATCCCCCACTGCTATCTAAGTGGGGGTGTGGAGATGACAAATAGGCCTCCTGATAGCCCCACCACAAGACAGCCAGTGATGTGCCCAGAAAACGCATATGGAGCATGTCTTCACTCCCAGTGTATAAACGACAGCAAGCTGTAGGTGCCTGCCTGGGAGCTTTCAAACATGAAAAGGAGATCTCAAGAGAAGGTGCATTTAGGAATCGTCAACCTACAGAAATCACGAGGGGCTGTCATCTGTCTTTAAAACTTGGTTGTCTGTCATAACCTTGACATAATGGGGGCCCTGACACAGCTCTGCATCTGTCTGTACTGGTGCCATGGCCTACACTGTGTTAACACACACAGGAGCCAGGGAGCATGACTTAGAGTGGTTCCTCAAACTGCAGTCTGCTGACATTGCTCTCAAATGCTTCTTCTTCAGGGAGAATACCACCAGAAAGAAGGTGTGGCTGGGTCAATGACAGGTCATAGTGTGACCCCCACCACACCTGCCCCTCCCTGCCCCATTTCCCCATTCCTCTCCAGAGTAGAAGCCTAGTGGCTAGCAGCTCTGGGGACTTGCCTCAGCCTTGTTGGCTGCAGAAACTTGAGACCACCCAGGGCCACCAAGAGTTAATGCCATTCCCTTAGTGTCCCACTTGTGGTTTTCTTTTGCTCAAAATGATTGTTGAGGAGAAAGAACAGTTGAAACTGGCAATTTGATGGCAGACATGCCCAAAATAATCCCTTTCCAGCAGGCAGTGCCTGGGATCTCTTGGAGCAACAGGCTCAGCCAGAGTGGGTTGGCTTCCTTTCTGCTCACCAACCTTGCTTGCTACTTTCATGCCTGAACCCACCATGGGCACAGTCCTGCCTGCTACCATAGCACTTTACACCACCTGTTGCACCTGCACTTGAACCCCCAGAGCAGCCTGGAGCACCCCAAAGCCTTGCCTTACCCCGAAGCTGTTCCAGAGGATCATAGCAACCTTCCTCCTCTGGTGTGAAGTATCTGGCACAGTCTAGGAAGTAGGGCCAGGCCATGTCGATGGCATCAAAGGCCGGCTGGCAGGCCTCCCGAAGACCCTCACAGACATGCCGGCAGGGCCTTTGGGTATGACCTCCCTCACATCGGGGGACCAGCACAGAGCACCCCAGCAGTCGCAGGTCAGGGTTGCACTGGCCCTCTAAGAGAAAGTGCAGCACACCCAGAAGAATGTACTCAGGGCTGGACTCCACTGCCTCCCATGACCGGTGCTCTAGAGGTGTGGGGAATGATGTCTGGTTGTAGGCTGCATCCGCACAGGTCCTGAGATGCAGGTCCACACAGGTGTCTGGAAAAGGAGAGTCAGCAAGTCATAAGATGACCCATGCCCAAATAGATACTACCTAAGACCAGGGCCTGCAATGATGGAGCACCCAGTCTGTTGGGGAGAGGCAAGGACAGGGCTACTATGGAGGAAGCAGGGTCTATGGGAGAGTACAGGGAAGGCTCCTGAACTAACTGCACCCAGTCATCTACTAGCAAATGGACCAGGATGGCAAGGACACCAGCAAAATAGGAGCAGGCAGCCTGACCTGCCTGGATGCTTGATGAGGCTAGGAGATTGGCAGAAGCAGAAACAAGACTCAAGAAAGCCCCAAAGGAGAGATGTCCATGAGAACATATCATACATGGAATGTCCCGCCCTCTAGGGAGAAGGTTAAGTCCCCTCAGAAATGCACCTGGTAGGCCTGGTTCTGTTCCTCCCCTTACAAAGACATTATAAGTTCAGGCTAAAGGGTGCTAGCTCCTATGATATTGGACAATTTGTGCTGGACCAGCATGGATAGCTCCAACTGTTCTTCCTCCTGCAGCCATCATTTGCCGGGCAGGGCCTTCTAAACTTCTCCAGGAGCCCAGGAAACTGCTTCTTTCTGTTCAAAGCATTTTAGATTTTTTGTCTTCTCTTATGACCTTAGGATTTTTAAAATTCATTTATTTCTAGGTGGCTCACACCACAGCAGGAATGTGGAAGTCATAGGACAAGTCGTAGAAGTCAGTTCTTTCTTCCTATCATGTGTAGCTTGGAGATTTAACCCAGATAGTCAGTCTTGGCAGCAAGCACCCACTGAGCCATATTGTTAGCCCAGTTTCTTGATTTTTTTGAGATAGCCTTCACTCTATAGCCCAGGCTGACCCAGAACTTCTATGTAGCACAAGTTGGCTCCAAATTTGTGGTAATTCTCCTGCCTTAGCCTCCTAAATGCTGAGATGACAGACATGAGCCACCAATATCAGATATGGCACTGGTTGTTCAATGGGAGAAATGATCCCTGGTTTTGCAAATCTTCTCCACAAAGAATACACCAGATGTACACACCTGGCGTAGAGAGGTTTGCCTCTTCCAGAGAAACAGCTGTGTCCTTAGGCCTGTCCTGAGTGTTTTAAATATATAACTTTAAAGTCATTATAGGAGGTGCTCTATCCATCCTCATATAGGGGAAGGTGAAACCAGGACCTGGGGGTTGTGGCAAAGGACATGTCCAAGTTCATAAGCCCATCTGAGCCTGCAGAGCCAGATGCCAAGGATGGCATCTCTGTGCTGGGATGTGGATCAGAACAGCCTGTTCTTAACATGCAGGAGGCCCTAGGCTCCATCCAGAATGACATATCCCCCTAAAGAAAAGAAAAAATCTTATAACAAGAGAGAAAAGGAGCGCTAGCCTTGGAGGTACCCCTAGCATGCCCCATGGCAGAGCTGGGCGGGCAGGTCAGGCTATCTCCTTTTTGGTCTAATTTCACTGGATCTGCTGAGCCTGTCCTGCTACCCACATTGAAGCCAGCATCTCTGCTTTGACAGCATGGAGATCAGAGGACTATAGAGTTCCTACAAAACAAACCAGGGGTGGGGTAGTACCTACCACTGTGTGTAGAGGCCAGCCTCTGACATTTACCTGGAAAGAGAGAGACAACCCTGAGTTAGCAGCAGGCACAGGCACACATCTCTCCCTTCACAACCTTTGTGGAGTACTCACTGGGCACCAGCCCTGGTCCATCCTCTGTCACCTTCACCTCATTGGTCTGTACTGTTGACATCTGAGCTTGAAGCAGCAGTGGCACCTGTCTCTAAGGTTGGGAGCCTGAGTCTGACAAACTATACAACTTGCCTAAGAATGTGGGTACATTGACATTGCCCTGGCCCAGCCTGGAACCAACCCTGTGGCCACATCCCCATCACTAGCCATGCACCAGCTCCCACAATGTCCTGAGCATCAGCCTCAGACTATGCCCATGCCCCCCCATACTCACATTGAACAATATTCAAAGAGCCATCCAAACAGACCCCCCAGTTCCAAGGACACTGAAAGAGTATGGGGGTTTCAGAGCTGTGTGAGTTGAGGACCCCCTTTCCAGAAAAAAAATCATCAACATACAAAACTATCCTTGCAACTATGAGGTTTCAAGGGCCTCCTAAGAGCCAGGCCTCGTGAACTCCTGTAGTAAGATCCAGGAAGGGCCATAAAACCCCTTTGAACATCCATGTTCAGCCAAGGGTCTGTTGGGCACCCTGTGTACAAGGAGAAGGTACCAAGAAGGAAACTTTGCATCAGGTTTAAATTGGACTGACCCTGAGGTAGGGCCAGGAAGGACTTTGATGGCTTGTGCTGGGAAAAGCCAGAAGTATAGTAGAATGGCAATGGCCAAGAGGAGTCTCTCAGGAGCAGGTGTGCATGCACGGAAGAGGAGAAGGACTCTGCTAGCATAAGAACTATGGAAAATGCCTGTACTCTGTCCCATTAGGTGGAACTTGGCATGACCAGGAGTCTGGAAGGGGCACAGCACCTTTAGACTTCTCACAAGATCTAGAGTCATGTCAACTGTGCCTGCCATCTATAAAGAAAGCAAGGGGCTCAGCTCCACCGTGGTTGCCAGAACTCACCAAACTCAGTGTACCTACTGTGAATCAGGCTGCCTCAATTCCAATCCTACTCCCAGGCTGCCATGAAACACAGGCAGCATTTGAGACACCATACTTCTGCCCGGCATTCATAGGGTAGCTCAGGTTTTCACCATCTTTGAGTTTGGGGGTTGTTCTTGGTGGTCTGAAGCAGGGTCTCATGTTGCCCAAGTGACCCTATTCTCTCCATGTAGCTGTAGATGATCTTGAACTCTTGACTCTCCTGCCTTCCTCACACACGCTGAGATGACAGGAGTGCACATCATGCCGGATTTTCTCCCTCTTAACCAACAGGGAGATACTCACAGACTCAAAAGATGTGGATCTGGGTGTGTGCCCAAGCCACCAGAAGCCCCTGGCACCCCAGGACACACCCTCCTCCTCACAATAATCATGCTGTAGGGAACCCTGAACATGAGCCAGGGCAGTGAGAACAAAGAAAGGACCCAGCCCCTGGCCTGGATGGCTCTGGGTTCCCTGCTCACACAGTGGGAGCCTAGACAAGTCTCCCTTTACTGTTGGGCAGGTGGGCCTAGGATGTATAAGAAACAAGCTAAGAAAGCCATGGGATCAAGCCAGCAGCAAGCAGACCCCCTCCGTGGTCTCTGCAACAGCTCCTGCTTCCGGGTTCTAGGTTGCCTTGAGTTTCTGTCCTGACTTTCCTCAGGAGGTATAAGCCAAATAAACCCCAAGTTGCTTTTGGTCATGGTGTTTATCACAACAATAGGAAGCAAGATAGAACATACTTCACTCATATTTTATGACAATGAAGAAATATTGAAGTAATATTCCAGATTTTTGGATTAAGTTTTTGTATTATTTAAAATCAGTCTCATCCGTTTCTTTCTGTCCTCGCAGTCCACAGAGCTAGCCTATATCAGCCACAAGGTGGCAGCATTTCAAGGCAGGAAGCTTTGGAAGCTGCTCTCAGTCCCACCTTCCCTCTTCAACTGCCCATCCGGCTTTTGGGTAGAGCCCCTCTAACAGAGAAGTCAAAATGTCCTGGGGTAGAGCACAGCAGCTGCCCCCAGTCACACAACCAGGTAAAGGAGTCAGAGTAAGACCCCCAAACTCAGGCTTAGAGAACTGGAGTCCTCTATCAATGAAAAGACTAGGTAGAGAGATGTATGTCAGGCTTGCTCCAAGCCCCTGGGGACATGGGGGCAGGGTAGGAGTGGGGCTGTGGAGTTGTCGCCATCCTTAGATATGAAGGCTGGACTGAAACCGTCAGGCTGACCCAGAAGCGTCTATGATCTGAAAGCCCACTAAACCACCATGCCTGTCCGTAGGGAGGGAGACTGGACCTGAAGAAGTTATTCCTTTCCTCTTGAAGTGCTCCAGATGTGCTGTGATGGTGCTCTGCCCAGCCAGGGACAGAGCTCACCTGCATGCCCTGCCCCAGTGAGGAGGCAGGTGTCTGTGAAGCAGCTTTGGTCTGGGGTCTGGGGGGTGGTGCTCTCGGCATAGGGTTATGAAAGGCTTCCTGTAGCACGAGTCCCAAACAAGCTTTTTACTCCACACATTTTCTGAGACAGCAGGAGTTTGGAGAAGGCCCTTCTATGCAAGTTTTAGCAGTGCTAGACAAGCACAGGGTGCACACATGTCCACGCAGACTTGCACACATATACACTTGCCTACTTGGCCGGCACTGTCCATTCTGCAGCAGGATGGATCAAGGGCCAGGGGAGGCCAGGGTGGGAAGAAAATCCCAGGCTGAGAGCAAAGAAAAGGGGCATTGTGTTTCCAACATCCACCTGGCCAGAGCACGTAGGCTCTTGGCTCAGGTGACTACAGATCCTAGCTCTTAAAATTCTACATCTGATACTATGGGCTCTGAAGATCCTGAGGGCTCCAGCTAGACTCGGGTGGTTGCTGTTGATAAAAAAAAAAAAAAAAAAAAAAAAAAAAAAAAAAAAAAAAAAAAAAAAAAAAAAAAAAAAAAAACAAGAATGTAAACTAGATGCACTCCCACCCAAGTAAGAAACTGGAGCCCAGCTTCTGGAGGGGCAGTGGCACCAGAATGGAGTTCAGGACTCCAAACCCATCCTCGGGACTCTTCCTTGAGACTCTTGGGTGTCCGTGGTCCCTCCCTTCTCCCTGCCCTATCCCTCAGAAACCCTTCGCTGGGCCACTTCCAAAGACAAGTTATACACATTGCAGCAGGAGTTTCGAAGGAAGTCAGGAATCTGCTGTAACCAGCTCCTCCCCATTCCTGGAAGGACAGGGGACTCAGACCTCCTTGTCCTGCAGTCCTAGCACTGATCACTCCTGACTCATTTCAGATCCCACCAGTCCAGGTGCCTGCTCTGCACTGGCTGATGCTGTGTCTCTCCCACCTCTGCTGTCTCCCTGGGGGTCTCTGGCTCAGCTGCTGAGAAATTCCAGTGCCCCAGCAAAGTTCTCTCTATTGCCTAAGGGTCACAAGGTGGCACCCTTACAGCATTCTACAAAGGAGGTAATTTCGCGACCAACGGTGAAAGAAAAGATCCCAGGTGGTTTAAGGGGGCTTGTCTAAATCTATCCAGAGGGGCAGCTGGGACCTTACCGGAGGGGTCAGGTCCAGGAGAGCAGCTGGGGTGAGCCGCAGCGGCCAGTGTGGCCAGCACGGCCAAGAGCAGCGGTGGTGTAGGCATGGTGGGCGCGCAGATGCGCTGAAGGGTGCAGTGATGTGGCACTTGGGGCGCGCGGGTGGCGCTGCTGGGCCGGGTGGCTGGGGGGGGGGGCGAGGAGCCGTGGGCTCTGGAGTCGGGTTACAACCAGCCTCGCCAGACACTGGAGAAGGGATGCTGGGGAGGAGGAGGAAAGACAGATAAAAGCCAACCTGCCTCCTACCCCTTCAGGAGCCCCGCCTCCTCCAGAAAGGGACTCGCCCTCCTGGGGGAGGCTCTGGGGAGCTGATCATCAAACCCCTTCTGATTTGGCCTAAAAAACCTTGATTTGTGGGTGGGTGGAGCCTGCACCAGAAATGGAGACGGGTCCTGGCCCAGAGCTGACCCCAGCTGGAAGTGAGCCAGGCCTTGGTCAGAGCCAGCGAAATGATGTCGGTCAGGCCTCGCGTGCCAATCCCGTGCAGATTCTCCCCCAGGGAAGCTGTTTGTAGAGCAAAGGTGGTGGTACTGTGGCAGGCCCTGCCTGAGCGCTGGCACCGCTCCCATCCTCTGTGTGGGGCTGTGGTCCAGACAATTTCCCTGACTTTGACTCCATCACTTGCAGGGCCCAACAAGGACCTAACTCACAGAACCCTCCTGAAGTATTGTGTATCTAGCCCCTGAAGGTAACCTGAAAGCAATGTCATGAAGTGAGGAGGCAGCTCATTGGTGACCAAACTCCAGGTTATATTCGAGGCAACTGCAGCTTCTTTCCTTTACACCTGGTCCCCTGCCCCTTGCCTTCCCCACCTGTAGCTTCCTAGGTATATCCCCAGGGCTGCCAACACCCAAGTAAAAAAAGATGGCCTGGAGTCCCATATGCTCTCCTTCTGACCTCACCATTTGGTGCAGGACAGACCCTGACACAGCTGTATCTATATGCACATCTGCCTGCCAGACACTTCTCACTGCTCCACTGCTGTGGTCCAGTCAGTGTGCCCATGTCACAAGCTTGGGGACAGCACATATGAGACACTAAGGTAGCACTTAGCTCTGTCCCCAGCTAAAGTACTTGGCTCAGATGACTTAGGGACCATATGCCTTTGTGGGCTTCCTCTATCAACTATCCTGAGCTGCTGGAAGCTGTGGACAAGCCACTTAGCCTTGGGTGAGAGGTTACAGTCCCTTTATGAAGCAGTCCCACCCCCAGGAAGCATGAACCACTTCCACAGCTGTCCAAATCAGAGCCCTGCAAGGCAGAACCTATGTCCACCTAAGCTCAGCTTTGCCCTCCAAGGGCACTTGAGTCTGCCCACAAGACTCCTGAAACCCTACCTTAGACCTTCCCTTTGGAGACTCCTGGCTCAGGGCTCATCTCTGAATCCAGCTGGCAGCATGCAGGCTAATTGCAGTGGGAACTGTGGGTCTGCTTCTGTCTTCTTCTGCCAGCAGGTTTGATTTTCATGCACACAAAGCATGGCTGTGCAGGCCTCAGTGGGGGCTTGGGGCTTATTCTTCATCCTCAGCCATGCATAGGAACCCACGAAGCTTAGAGTTCGCAGCCCTTCAGACTTGATGAAATAAGCTCCATTGAGCTACCACCACTCTTCCGACCCCAGCTGTCCTGGGGCTAGGCTCTCCTCTCTAATCCAACCTTGGCTCATCTGCAGAGACAGCTCAATCCTCCAGCAGGTGATTCTTCATGGGGAAGTCACAGACAGGGCTACACCTTCCCAATGGGGAAGAGACTGCATCCCCTCCATCTGCCAGAAGCCCTGGACCAGACCAAGCAGTCACAACAGTCCTCAAGGCACACAGCTGCACCACCAGGCTTGAGCTGAGTAGTCAGATGCTATACAAGACTGAAAGCCTGGAGCAGGGAGTTATATCCCACAGGGTCCAACAAAGAACATTGCCACTTATCTCCCAGCTTAGCCACATCCCCAGTGAAGTGACTCCCAGTCTTCCTTAGCCAGCCTGGGGACTGACAATGGCACCAGTGGCCTTCTATGACTTAAAGTGATGAGCATAGCAGCCAGTAGGAATACACAGGTGGGGCATCTCACTACCTGGCCCCCAGTGATGCTGATGTGGCTTCCAAAGTGCCCATATCAGGGCAGGTACCAAACAAAGCCCTGGAGGGGTGGCAGAAAGCCCTTAAACAACAGCCACCAGTCAGTGAGGGAGGGTGCTTGGGTACAGGAGCCCATGAGAATTGCTTGATACCTAGGTTGGGGGCTCTGAGTATGGCCAACTGGGAAAGGACTTGGTATACACAGGAAGAAGGAGGTGGATCCTTCAAAGAAGGCCAGAGTCAGAGGCCCTAGGGAGGGCCAGAAACCCTGACTACAAAAGCTTTAGAGAAGGACCAGGGGGACAGGAGTGTGTGTGTGTGTGTGTGTGTGTGTGTGTGTGTGTGTGTGTGTGTGTGTGTATGTGTGTGTATGTCTGGGTGGGGGTGTGGGGAGTGTCGTGTGTGGTGAGTGTCCACACACAACACTGCTCTCTCCCAAAAAGCAACAAGAGGGAGACTACACTTGCACCAAACATGAGTGACCATGGCCCAGACAACACATTTAGAAACAGTTCCATGATGTTTTTGTAATTACGGAAAGTCATCAACCAAGGCACTTGCCACATGTCTTGGTAGTAGGTGGGGAAGTCTCTGCTGTGGGTCTCAGATGCTGTCTGTTGACATTATTAACCATTTAGCTTGTGGGCTGGTGGAAACTAGCAGTCTGTTAATATATTCTAGAAGGTTTCACTGGTAGTCACAAAGTTGCTAGATCAGACACAATCAGGCAATGAATAACCATTAAGGGAGCCAAAGATAGCCATTATAATTTGGCTCAGTACCTGCAACAGTCCAACTCTCCAAAAATCACTAAATGTTCATCAGTATATCGTCCTCTAACCTTTAATCTTTAACACAGATGTGCCTTTTTCCCCTGGGAACTTTAGTTCACTGGGTAGAGAGGAAGGGCTTTCAGGCTGGGCAATGAAGTGGGGACAGAACTAGGAGCTTGAAGGTATCCAGGGGATCAGCCTATATTAGCTGAGTATCCATGGAGGCAGCAGGGACAGGAGGCAGTGGTCAGTGTGATGGGAAGGGTTTAGGCAAAACCTGAGCTTGGAGCCCAGAGACAGGCATATGAGAGGTTAGAGGAGATGCCCAGGCTGAGTTTGAGGATGGCAGAGGCCAGGATAAGAGGAGGCACCGTGGGAAGGAAGCACTAACTCTCTTCTTGTTACAGGTACAACACGGGGAAGGCCAGCTCCCCCTCTTCTCTGTGCTGGCCACCCTTCCCAACCTTTGTCATGCTGGCCAACTCTCTCTGCTCATTCTCTATGATCCACCTCTAACTTCTTACTTCTCCCTTTGCTTTATGCAGAGAAACATGCTGAGCTGCCATCTCCTGGGAGGGAGAAGCCATCTCAGATCACTCCCTAGGGCAGGACAACCAACAGCACACACCCAGGGAGACTACCGGGAACAACAGTAACACCTGCTAGAGAGTCTGTAGACCAGGCATGCCAAGTGTGAGCAGACCTCACACACAGACCTTCTCACAGCTTGTAACCTTAGGTTCGCAATGGCAGTGTGTGAGGAGCAGGCAGCAATGATGGGTGTACAGACCCATACCTAAATTTACCAGGAAAGGAGTGGCTGAGTGCCTGAGTCCCTGGAGGACTCCCACTGACCCACGCCTCTGCTCCTGCTAAAGCTCCCTGTGTCATATATTACAAGAGGCAATACAGATATTGAGAAGCACTTGCTCTTCTGGTATATGGCCACAAGCAGAGATCAGGAAAGAGTCGGTATTGGAAATTCAGAGTGGCTGAATGACTGGAGTCGGTGACACTGTCAGAACAATGCCCACCAACTCCTGCAAGCTGGCATCCAGAGGTTTTGGTGCACAGGCACAGTCTCTAGTGACAGGTCATATGCTACCTTGGGTACTGGTCCATGAGTACTATCAACACCTTCACAGTGGCAACACTGATGTGTCTGGCAGTAGCTGGGCCCCACCCATCATACCTTGAGTGACATGAAGTAGAGCATGACTTGTGGTGACACATATCAGGTGACGATAAGCACAGCATTGATGACAGCAAGGCACAGGGCTCAGCTCCAACAGCATGCACAGCAAGCAGGACAGGAGCAGGTGAGTGGGAGGCTGCAAAGGGCAGACTGTCCCCATGCATAGTCCGGCAATAGACAACCATGAGCACAGTGAGAAGGCCACAGTCAGCTCCCCAGTGCCCAGCACATCATTGGATGCCAGTCAAGTGTCCAAAAAGTCAGTGGTCTGTCATGAGGGGCAATGAACACAGCCCACCCTGTATCATGAAGGGAATGTCCAATGCAGCCAGCAGCAAGTGACTCAGAGGCAGCATTTCCTGAAGCTCTGCACTGTGGACCCAGCAGAGCAGCACTAGTGTAGTGGACAGTGGCAACACAGGTTGCCAGGAGCCCCACAGGTGGTAGCAGGACTGTGCTTCCAGCTGGAATCCAGGCGCTGTCCAAGAAGAACTCTGCCGTGGAGCAGAACTGCATCTTCCCAGAGATTCAGAACCTGGCAGAGTCCAGAACAGCTCATGTTAAACAAGCTTGGGGTCTAGGCACCCAGACAGAGTGTGGTGTTGGGTTAGGGCACTGCTATGAACGCACACAGGTACTGGTGCTGTCCTGGGTGCTGAATGTGGTTGCCCATCCCTTTGCCTGAGGCATTATTCCAAAGTGCAAACTAGTGGAAGGATAAAAGGAACGGCTGCTAGAGAGTCTCTTTGCTACCACCTGCCTTTTTGACCCCTCTCACAGCCCAGGGAAAATAACTCTGTGTCCTTCTACTGTCAATCAGGCTGGAGCCGTGAAGTAGTCACTCCTTCCTCACCATTGAGCTTGCTGGGTTCTGAACCATATGGAGTTGAAATGTAAGCTGGTAAGATGTAAACTAGTAGGAATGGCAGTGGGCACCAAACCTCGGTGACCCAGTGGTTAGCTGCTCAGTGGTTGGAGGAGAATGAAAGGGGAAGCTTGGGAG